AAAAAAATCCTCCCACTCCGCTGTGCCCTCACGTCGCCTGACTACACTTGGAAAAGAAAACTGGGCTTAGAATAGAAACACATTAACTGGTGCCCGCAGACTAACTAGCTTCAGGCAGACATCTTCTCCGAGGTTGTCGGTGTGCAGGTTACACGATGGATTACGACCAAAGATACAAAAGGAACCAGGTAAACCCCGAGGAAAACCAAAACACCAGACACCCGAGACAGATGACAGATGTGTCTGGACAGGATCAAACACTTCCAAATCCAAATGTTCACGGAAATCCACAAGTGCCAACTGGACAGCCACGGTAGTAAGTACAAAGTTTGTGTTGATAAAACAAAGAACTGAAAACTGAAAAACAAAGCAAAACACACACACACACACATACACAGAGAGAGAGCTCATGTTGTCATTTATAGATCCACAGAGGAGGCTGAATAAACCGCCTCTTATGTGCAAATTTCTTCATTGCCTAACATTTATTCTATTTTATTTACATTTTTACATTTTACATTTACATTCTATTTTATTACATTTTATTTACTGGAGTAGATTTCTGTTTTCCTACAGAGCTGACTTTCACTTTCGTTTCACGGAATCGGAGAGTGAAACGTTGCCTTCAGTGTTCGTGGTAAAGCACAGCTTCTATGTATACGAAGAAAGTATCTTTTATAAGCAGTTTTATAAGCATGTTGAGCAAAGTAAACAGGCGTTTTATCAAAGTGCAGTCTGTAAAGATGTCTTGATTTTACTCAAGTAAACAGAAATCACATGTTTGTGATTTTGCTATGGGATTAGAAAGGAAACAGATGATTTTAAAACCATAGCAGTGCAATTTACTTTGTCCCTTCAAAGCAGCATCATATTAGTTTCATTACCACATACTTTTGGATATTCTTAAACTGCTGGTGGTTTTGCTTTTGAGTGGCTTTTTGACCATACGTAACATTTATCCTTTTTTTTTTTTTTTATGTTTTTTAAGACTTCGGTGCAAAATTTCCTCAAATACAGAAATACAAACAAAACAAGGGAAAAAATGATGGAATGCAAAATGATATCCCTTACATAACTACTGGAAATTTTCACTTGAATCGTTTTCAGCTAAATGTATGCAGTAAGTTTTTAGCTACTGCTGTGTAACCTAGCCTAACCAAACCTCAGACATGAACGAGAGACATAGAAATTAAGTCATGACAGCTCAGATGTTGCCCGGATTAACAAGGTGTTGAGGAACCAGGACACACTGATGAGAAGTGGGCTACTGGAACAAGAAGCCACAGCTGGGCAAGAGATGAAAATAGGGCGCTGTTGGAATGCTACTATGTAAGTTAATTCCAGCAGAAGAGGTTACATGAATAGAATGAGGGGACCTATGGAATCCTCAATACCCAGCATCCAGATTGACAGCGAAACAACTAGTAGCTCAGTGTTACAACATTGGGAAGAAGGAACTGCTCTCGTGGCTAGAAATTGACGAGGTACAGTACACCACAGAAATAGAAGGCAGGAAAATAAACCAGCTGTTCTCCACAGAACCATCCAAGGTGTACTCTCTTGCACAAGATCAACAGGACCCTAAGAGCCTTCTTTAGGAACTCTAGTGTTGTTCGCCACATCCCCATTAAGGCCAACTTCAAGCCCAAAGCACAAATCACTGTCAAGTCGCGGGATCTAAAAAGTAGATGCGCTGTTCCCACTACTGTTTTGCATAGGCCTGAATCCCTCAGTGAGGTCATTGACGAGACTGGCTACAGATACTGGCTGTATCCCAATTCAGGGTCTGCAGCCTTAAAGGCCGCCTTTTAAGGCTGAGTACGTCACAGCGACGCGACGAAGGCTGTCCCAATTCAAAGGCTGCTCGAAATGCGGCCCTGAAATGCATCCTTCATTTCCCTGAATTTTAAGGATGTGTAGACTTCGTGGCCCAACATATCCCAGAATGCATAGCGCAAAAAACAGCGGAAGAGGGGCGCACGAAGAGTAAACTTTTAAAAGTAAGTACTGAATATTATGTCACTTATTTATGTGCAAATGTTTAATAACGAAGAACATTAAAACATTCCTGTTGGCCACATGTCAGCAAAGTTATGTGACATTAGCGACGTTTGTACTAACTTGGTTTTAAAGCCTTTACTTTAAAATATACGCCGTTCAATAGTCGACCTTAATCTTACAGAAAATTTGATTATTTTATGGATATTTAAAGTAAGCACTGAGACAAATTTACTAATGCCAACATATTAAAAGAACAATATTTGTCTCTTATATATAACACAGTTATATATACAGTGAAGATTTAAGGTGACAGGAAATATGAATAAATGCAGCTTGAATTTTTACTGCAGCTCAGTATTTGAAACAGTCATTCACTGCTGTAATAACTAATAATGATTGAAATGATAACTTTAATATTGGCCATATTGTATTTACATTAGTAAATACAATATGGCCAATATTACAAAGTAAGATGACTTTAGTCTCATGAACAACATTAGTTAATTGTTATTTACTAGCTAATCTTAAAATGACTGTTCAGTACAGAAATGAAGCCCAATAATCATGATTTCACAGTCCCGTGGTCTCAGCCTCAGATACTTATCAAATCAAAGCTCATGTAGAAACAAACAAACAAATGAACAAAATATTTTTTCCTTCATTTCTGTCAAATAATGCTGTATGAAATGGTTCCAGCTGTTAGTGTCATGGTTGCTAGGCAACCTGGGCAGCACCACGGAGGCTAGACCGTCCCATTTCAGAAACCTCGCACTTCCGGCCTTAGGGGTCTTTGAGTACGCGGCCCTTGTGGACCGTTAAGGCTGCGTACTTTAAGGCTGCAGACCCTGAATTTGGATACAGCCACTGTCAGCCACCTCCTCTACATGGATGACATCAAGCTGTATGCCAAGAGTTAACGAGATATCGATTCACTGATCCAAACCACCAGGACGACATCGGAATGTCATTCAGATTTGAGAAGTGTGGTCAGATAGTAACATAGAGAGTGAAGGTAGTCAGACTGGAGGTGATCGAACTACCAGAAGGCAACTATGCAGACAGCTACAAATACCTGGGATTCCCACAAGCAAATGGGAACCACGAAAAGCGGCTAGGAAGCTGCATCCACCAAGTACCTGCAGAGGGTCAGGCAAGTCCTGAAGGCGTCAGCTGAATGGTTAAAAACAAGATCCAGGCTATCAACACCTACATTCTGCCTGTGATCAGGTACCCTGCTGGGATAATAAGGCTGGCCAAAGGAGCCACTGACATTAAGACATCATCACTGTGTTCTGCATAGTGCTCATTACTCTGCAGTATACATTATTATTAGTATTAATAATAATAATTTCTAGACCAGTGTAGCATTGCAAATTGTACCACACTGATGAGAAAAAGATACTCAAACTGTACTTGGATATACCTTATTGACAATATTTTACCTATACTATTTTTAATTTTTTTTTTTACATTATTTTAATAAGGCTTAAATGAAGTGTATGAATAAACTTAAACTACTGATCAAGTTAAATTAATTTGTTAGCGGAGGTGAAACTGCAACGTTTTCTAAATACTTTCAAAATACCTCATTATAAGTGAACAAAGGAAATATTCGACACCAGAAGCACTCAGTTTTTGCATTGTTCTTCTCCTGCCTTAATACCAACAGTCACACTGTGTCTCTGTCCTTGTTTCAGCTCAGATGGATACACCATTATCCCACCAAATGAATCTAAGCGAAACGAGATGAAAACAAGTAACTATGACACCAATTTGATCTTCATTTATTTGACATTTCTCTCCAAATGTATGAAACGAGAGGTCTGTTGTTGTTGCTGCAGTTGCTCAAAAAGAAGAAGAGGCTCTTAACAGATGGAAAGAAACACAGAGAGTCCCCTCTGTATGTGTGAATCCAGAGAGGCTTGGTAATCTGTCCTTACCCTCTACCTTCACCATTTCTATATTTATCTTCACATCTTCACTTACTGACATTTGGCATTCTGATCTTTTATCCAGGTGGTGATGTCACACTGGCTGAAGTCAGGCAAAAACAGCAAATAAATCATCAATCCATGAAACTGCAGAAGAAAGTACATGCCAAGTTATTCACTCTGGAAAGCATCCATTTATTTTCTGTGGAGCTTTACATATATCTAAATATTACAGCAAATTATTTACACATACCATTTTTGTCTGCTGCCATAAAAAAAA